ATTAAAAATAAGGATTATTAAAAAATAAGATTTATGTGGTTTTCTTTTTTACCGAATGACGTATAAGTCGCAGCCTTACAATAAATTGTCAGAAAGGGACTTCGAGCGCATTGTTTACCGTTTAACGACTTTATGACTAACTTTAAAAGATACTAGTGACTGGGCTGAGTCTCTTAGAAGACACGAAACGCTTAGTATATAAACAAAACACTAGAATATGGAAGCCTAGTTTGAGGAATTATGTTGGTCAACATGTCACGTGATCACGTCATGTATAATAAACAAACCCAAATTCCTTCACTAAAACTCTATCCACTGTTACGAGAGGATAACAGTCGAACTAACGCTCGTGTAAAAGTCTATTCGCATCACGGTCCAATTTTTAAAAACTAGGCTAGCGCCACATTTTAATCCCAATATTTTGTTTATGATATTTATGCCCATTAATCGGTCAAAAAAGAAAACTCATTTTCTGTAAGTGGAAAAATTGTACCTAAAGGTGCAACCTTAAAACAATCCGAGCCATAGACAGTTTGTCTATACCATGACTTCATGAAACGTGGCGTCACGATCGAATTTTTAAAAAACTTAGGCTAGCCCTTCATTTGAATCCCGCCATTTAGACTCAGTTTACTTGAAAAAATTTCAGAAAGAGCTTCGAGTCAAACAATTCAAAGAGCAGTTTTATTGGCGACGGTTGAGGTGTGTGGTAGAAATCATGATTAAAGTAGAGCTTCGATGACTTATTTGGGACAGTTGAGGACACACAATCTATAGCTGAAATACCCTTCTTCTGAACTAGATTTCCTTTTTTTCTGCCTCGTGTTTCCTTAAAAGTGCATTTTTCTTGAGGAACACGAATTGAATTTTTTTTTTTCGTGTATACTACTATCGGGTAAAGGTATTGCATTATGCAATTCCATTTCTGCATGACATTGTGCAAAACCCCTGAATTAATTAAACTTGTCGAATTACCATACTAACACTGGGTAGTTTGGTCCTAGAAGCTTCTTGTAGGCCACAAAGACATTCTTCTTAATATCCAGCAACATTTTACGAAACATCAAGGTCAACACAGGAGGCGACAAATTATTAGGAAAACGAAAAGGAAGTTGATCATAACGAGGGAAATGGAATCCGCTTTCGAAATTTTGACGATTCGCGCTTGGCTAACTCGCGTTGTAGAGCGCCGGACTCCAGACCGGGCAAACACTCAGTGTCGTAAAATAATTGAGGAGAATTTGCTGCCTTTACTTTGACAATGGTTACTTATAAAACATTCTAGTCTTCTCGGGGAAGGAAGATAAGCCGTAGGCCCCTCCTCTTTTCTCTTCTCTGAAATGGTTAACAGGGACGTTAAAGAACCAACGCACTTCTCGCTAAGAGTAGGGAATGTTGCTCCCGGTCTTGCGGTCTGGCCTTGACATTGTTTACTCTGTATACATATTTAAAATTCCCAATCAATCTCACAATCTCGCTGACTCAGAACGTAATCTGCTTTTTGCGCACTAAGAGAAATATTTTTGTACTAGTAAAAATATTTTTTGCTTGAATAAATATGTTTGTTCAGGGATAACTATTTTGTCTTTCACTTGTTTGCCGCCGTGGCAAACACTTTTCAGTACGAATTTTGATGTGTTAATGCTACTAAATATTTTTGGCCGGAAACATTTCGATGGCTCTGATACCTACAAGATACGACTAGAAATTGAACTTCCGGTGGCATACTTTAAAGATTGGACACAAACTACAGCGACAATAAAGTCTAATGAAACTAGGAATTAACTATAATATTCTCAGCTTACAACAGAACCCTAAGTTAGGTGACACTACTGTGTTGAACCAATCTCACTCAATCATAGAGAGTTAAACAAGACATCTTGAATTGAATGATTAGCAAAGGAGTAATTGAGGTTTAAAAACCTGTAGTAGTTTAAGTTTTAACTATTTTCAACAAAGTAAGCAAAAACAGGCACTGCATTAGCTAAAACATCAACCTGTAACCGATAGAATCAGAGTCCATTTCAGGTTTGCCACTATTTCACCAGCAAAAAAAGTACGTAAGATGAATCAGTTCAGCACTCAAAGACGTGGCATTTAGCAGTTCCATGCTCTAATGGCAAGACGCTGTAACTGCGAGAGATTCTAAGCTAGATGATCGATCAATGTCGATGAATCTTCAAATAGCTTTAGTTATTTCTATTTTAAAACAATGAAGTTTTGGGAGACCAAACACTGCTGTTTCTGTTGCATAAAAGTCAAGTGGCAATTAATCACCATTCATTGTCGAATATTCATTCTCTTTCGGAAATATTCTACAACTTTGTTTCTTGAAGTTAAGGTCACTATTTTTTTAGATGAAACCATCTTGTATATGCTTGTAAGCTGAAGTCTAAGAAATTTAGTATTTAGGGATATCCACATATCTTTTAAGTAATGTAAATGAGTAGTTACTGTATATTGAGAGCTTTTTGACGACCGTTGCCCAAAATGTTTTGTCGCAATAAGACGTCTCCAAGGTGAAACAAACGTTATTTACGGACTTAGTCCTCAGCATTTGGTTTTATTGCACCAATATGTACCCCATGGCTTTGATACTCTTCCCTCCATCATCTAACTTAAAATGGAGTGCCTCGTTTCCGCAAGATTTTGCGCCTTTTGGATGACTTCCTGTACCAAATCCAATCAAAGAGTTGCACGAGTAGCAGTCGTTTTGGTTATTGCTAACAATACCAATTCTGACTTTAGCAAGATCACGATCACCAACAGCATTGAATCCTTCCTTGTTACAGTTGCGCTGTAAAGAGGCGTTGCTGCCAATCAACTTTTTCCACCCGTCACGACCCAGTGAGGTGTTGCGGTATTGGCCATCAGCAATTAGTGAGTGCAGAGAGACAGCCAACTTACTGATGACAATAAACCTGAGCTGATGGTTGATCTTCATTCCGAGACAGATCTTGGAGAATGATGTGTTCCAGTAGGTGGGTAGCTTTGATTCTTGCTCGTCAAACCCAGTCTCTCCGCCGAGAAGGTTGAATTCATCGTAATTTGTCCAATAATGCGCCTCATAATGGAAGGTGGTCTGAAATACAGGAGCATAACACTTATGTATTTCTCTGAATTGATGGATTTTCCCTGTCTACTTCCTTTCGTGTTTCGTTATTTATTGATTTATTACCTGACTCATTTGTTTTATCATAGAATTGACCTCGATATTTTTGACATCGTGTCGTCAATGCTAAGGTAATTTTTGTTTTCAACACAGACCTGGCCCCGTAGATTAGTGCATGACATGTCAATCTAGTTATAGGGAGTTTTTCTGTGTTTTCATTTGCACCCCAATCAAGAGCCTTTGAAATGATAAAGGATGACAGACGTCGTTTTTCTTTAAAGAAATTCTGATCTTTTTGTACATAGAAAAAATTGGAGCGTGATTGTGTCACGATAAAAGGAACCTGATCCCCACTCCTCCCAAGTAAGTCTCTGTAATATTCCTATGATCCATGATCCCTCCTCATTGGCAAGTTTATTGGTACTCAATGTTCTATGGTCCTCCAACAATCCTCCTCTACCTATCCACGTCCCTCCTGCTGTTCAAACGATAAACAATGACTGCTATTTAAATCAGGTTGATATCTACATAACCCTCAAATAGTGTGAAAATTTAACTCAGATTAAGAGATTGTCCTTGTTCCAAACAGCCTTTAAACGAATTTATACTTATGGCTGATTTTTAACTTTTCTTTTTCTACAATCATTGCACACAATAAGTCTCGAAATTTACGTTGAACAAAGTCAGGTCTTCGTCCATTACCGTCTGGATGAAAAACAACAAGCATTCATATATAGAAGGCGCGTTTTTAACTTGCAACGTTTCGCAAGAGAGCGGGTTTATACAGGAAATGAATTATTCAATAAAAGTATGCACCTCTCTGCCGTCAATCTTCATGACTGGCGTCCATCCTCCGTCTCCACACCCAAAATTTCCCATGTGACAAAAAACGGACAATGGTTGGGAGTCAACAACAAGAGTAACCACACCACTCATACTGGATCTTTTTAATCAAAATATTACAAAGAAACAAAGCATTTAAGTAAACTATAACGGTGAAATAAAACTAGAGCTTATAAAGATAATTATCATTAGTGGCAAAGAAAATCACATTGGCATAGATACTGACTGATAATGATAATGATTGAACACATGAGCAAATGAAAAGTTAATCCTTCAGGAAGAGGCGTCAATTTCTGCGGGATATAAACAACAGCTTTCATAGCAACAATGCTCGGTTATTTGTCCTGGAATTAAACAGGTGTCTGGGAGCTTATTATTTTTCACTTCTTCTGTAAGGACGGGAAGACACTCAACCAAGTGAATCGAATTTAAACGGAGGACTTTCTTTGCATGGTGGTTTGAAAATTAGGGTATATTTGGTGACGTGATGGGCTTAAACCAATTGCGGGAAAGCGGAATATTTGATGTACTACATAAATGACATCCGAATATCAACTCTACTTACGTGTCCTGATCATGAATTTCTTTGCACGAAGTAGGTCCTAGAAAAAGTTTTAAAATAACTTTTTTAGGATTATAAATTTATATTGTCTCCCCATTGCTGTTGTTGTTTTTTTTAGTATTATTATAATTCAGTATCCTGGCTGGATTGAAACATTTTCTTTTTTAAAGGACTTTCTTGGGCAGCATGCATGTTACTTCGAATCCTTGAAAAGAAGAGACGTCGGTAGAGCGTCCCGTCATCATTGATAATAATTATTTCCAGTCTTGCTTGAAGTTGCTAACTAACTGATGGCTCTCCAAGTATGTAATGCACTTGTTTTTGAAGAATAGTTAATCATTCTGCTCTTTTTTATGTCAGTTTACTTTCCTGTATGTGTCTCTCTCTCTTTCACTCTCTCTTTCGTTGTCTTTTCTGTTGATGTCAACTCTACGCGCTCTTGTACATTTATTGAATGCTCTCAACCAATCAGATTTTTCATAATTAGTTTAATGTATAAAAATAGTGGTTTTCCTGCACCTTTGGTAGTCTTAAATAGTATGATAAAGGTAGTAAGATTCTTAAAATTGCCTTGCAGTCTTTGCTTTGTAATACCTGTAAATTCTCAACTAGTATATAGGGGATCATCTATATTTCGACCCCAACGTTTACCTTTACACTCTCGTCCATTTCCAGCGAGTCCATGTTTGCATGTGCAACTGTATGACCCTTTTGTGTTATTGCAAAATGCGTGAGGACTGCAGGTGTGTGGCGCGCTAAGACACTCGTTGATATCTCCAAAAGAAATAATAAAAATAATGGAAAAATAGACAGACAAATAAATGAACAATTAAAAAAATAGCAACTTATATGAATGCAAGACGCTTAGGCGTTTATCCTGTACTATTTGGTTTTTTAGTTAGAAGGCAGAATTTTTGGTTTGTATTTTTTATGTCCGTGGGTGTGGCAACACTCTTCTAGCATTTCACTCATTTCATGAGAAAGTTCGAAATTAGAAAATCCTCCTTTGCTCAATATTCCCAAAGGTAACGCTCACCCTCGCATTCTCTTCCACTCCCAGTGAATCCAAGTTTACATGTACAGTTGTAAGACCCCTTGGTATTGTTGCAATAGGCATCAGGGCTGCAAGAGTGTGACCTTGCAACACACTCATCGATGTCTGTAGATATAAAGCCGACAAATAATTACGGAAACACATCAATAATTTAAAAGGTCAGCAGCATTACCTGATATTCGCATTTGATTTGTGCAGCATTGATACTTGTTGTTAAGAATATCAAATAGATTTCTGTAGCCATTAGACAGTCTGTGCAACAAAAGATGAATTAAACTAAGAAACAGTGATCAGCAGATTGATTCCATTTGGTGCGAAAAACCTTTCATTATCAAGAGTAATTTTTTTCAATGTGATTTTGTCTACATGTATCTCTGCCTGCGTTCAGTTTCACTATGTATTTTTCTGCTGAGAGAATCTAGATGTAAGTTACGATTCCTTTGTTGATAATTTACAGATGTAAGCTTCATTTTTTCATCACATAATTGCTTTGAATCCAATGTCTACCTCTACATTCTCGTCCATTTCCCGTGAATCCATGTTTGCATGTGCAATTATATGAACCTTTAGTATTGTTGCAAAACGCATCAGAGCTGCATTTGTGTAGTCCACGAACACATCCATTAATTTCTGAAACAGAAAAAAAATACACCAATAAATAAAAACAAAATTATCGTACAGAAAGAAAAAAACATGGAAGCACCAACAACTGTAAAAAAGAAAGACAATAAATGTAGGCCTCCTTTACATACTATTCTTAGTATGGTAAACGTAGTCTTTTGTTTTATCATGATCACTACAGTTACCTTGTAAGTCACAAACAGTACTGATGAGCTTCAAAACAGTGATATCCTTTTTTTTCTTTTAATCCGGAAAGCTCATTTACTATTTTTTCTGTCCACTTTCAGTGCAGCTCAGCAGAAGATATGTGATGACGAATAAGGAGAAGGGAGATGACGAGAAGATAAGGCAAAAAACCAAAAATTCGCCTTTGAGTTGTGTTGGTGAAGAGACCGCAACAAAGCCCTGTTGCGCTTCGTTTTTTACTGGCTAGTAAGAGTGGTTTAAGCAACTCAAGGACGGAAAAGCTCTGTTATTCCGTGCGACCCATTTAACAAGCAGCGGTAAAGTTTTTCCTCGTTGTTGTTAAACTGAAGGTCTCAAAATATCAACATAAAAGTTGTGTTTACCTCTTTCGCAAATCGGACCCTCAAATCCAGCGGTACACAGACACCGATAACCTTTCTTAGTAAATCCGCTTTGACAAGTAGCATTGTTCTTACAAGGATATTGAACGCAATTGCTCTGACAGAAGAAACAGACCATTGTCATTGTTATTATTATTATTATAATCATTTTTATCATCTAATAGTCAACCACACCGCTACCGTCATCAACATCGTCATCGTTATCCTTGTTATCATAGTTGTTCTTCTATTTCTATATTTCTCCAATAACTTTGAAATGCTTTGTCTTTGAGAAGATTTTGGTGAAGAACACAGACACAATATTACCGCTAATGTCTTGAAAGAGTGAAAACAACTCAAGTTCGAAACTAAAGGTAAACATGAGACTAAGAGTCTTAAAAAAATAAACAAAGTAAACCAATCTAAATCTTAAATTGAAAGTTATATTTACCTCAGCTGCGTGATAAGAATACATTTCTTGTTCTATCAACTTTTTTTCGTGTCCTTCATGAGTAGCATTGTTCAGTTCACATTTATAGTTTCCATTTCCATCTGCTCGTGCATAAAGATTAATGCTGACACAGTCGGGCTCCATATAACACAAGTTTTCACAGAACCTGGAAATTGTTATTTCTACGGTGCGAATTGTGTGGTTTACGAGGCGTTTCCCTTCAAATGCTTTCTCAGGCCCAAACTCCAAATTGCGACACTGGTCTGCGATGCAGACGTCTTTGAAATGGAAATAATAAATACAGTAAACGTCATACGACTGCTTTTGGTGATAAGTGACATTTAATTATCAATAGTGTTAGACTTTTTTCTTCGCCTATTTTATTCCTATCTAGTAGAAAGTCTTTGAAAGGAAAGAGATATACAAACCCTCGACAGTCTCTCGGGTTTCCACAACTTTCTCCCAAGTCTCCCAGATTTCTTGATAAAAAAACTAATTTTCTAACCTAATGACGAATTCTTCTAAGTTGAATATAACGTTTCCCAAAAAGTAACGATAACGCAAACCAAAGAAAATATGAATTGGATATGGGTCATACTGAAATGAACCTTGTGACCTGACAGCCTTAGGTATCGTAAAGCAGAGCTCCAATAAAAGAAGGGAGACTGAAACAGAATACATGATGCGAAGCACGATTATAAAAGTTCTGGCCATTTAAACGTATGCCTGAAACAGTAGAAATTAGGCTGTCGCCGGTTAAACCATTGGCTGTCAAACTGTTTCGTATGTCAACTGTTCTGTCTTAGTTTATACACGTATACAATATTATACAAGTATACATATTTGCTTAGAATGCTGCTCTGTTCAGCAATAATTTGCCTTTCAATTGCCATAATAAAGTGTTGTCACATTATTCTGTGGTCTGACATGCTATCATGAAAAAACTGATAAATAACAGTTGTAATTATGCAGCCGTGTTACACGTTAGCCAGTTCCACGACACTTTTCATATCCATACTGTTGTATGGTAAAAGGTAAATGGAATTTCCTAAATGATACGCACACTGATATTCAAACCGTTTGTGCCGAATTAAGATAAACTGGACCTGAAAGAATTATTTTAAACGAAGTGGTCTCCCAAAAAAATAAGTAAAGAATCCGTTAAATTCCCCACGCATTACAATCAGTCAAAACAATGTTTATGTCAAAATCGAACAACAGTGTCGTCAGCATGTTCTCTACTCTCACTAAGCACGCTACAATAAGCCAGTCAGAATCCTTTTTTGGAATGGTTCAAATAATCGAATTAGTCGACCAAGCGACCAAGTCGCTTGGTCGACTAGTTAACCGCAAATTAATGCAGCCATTGAGCGTACAACTGACAGATGTTATCCGTCAGTCGTAAACAAAGTTAACTGGAAAAGTTCAATGTTTTAGACTTGGCGGAAAGAAATTAAATGGAAGCCTTAACAAAGCCAAAATTTTTACCGTTAGTTATAAAGCTGTCACCGTACTGAGACCTTCTAGTAAACAAAGTTATACGTCATCGCGGAAATTAAAAAAATCTTACCCAAAAAACAGTTTTTCCTGAGTTATAATATAGAGATCAAACGGAAATTGGAAGACATTATCGATGATTTACGGGAGGAACTAGGGTGGTCATCCTTTTAGAGTGGGAACTCCAGGCATATAAAACTGGCTTAAATTTCCAGTTCTTACCCTTACGTGTACAGCATTTCCACCCACTCGTCCGACGAACTATTTGATATTCTGCTGAACGTGTTTTGGCCGGCTTATTATAAATGTAAACAATAATATCTTAAACGACTTTGAATACATGAAAATCATTATTGTGTAGTAACAGTAAAGGGAAACTATTCCTCGTGTTGCCACATGCGCCCTTTTTTTAAATATAGAACCAGGCACAAATTTAACTAGCTTCTCTATCTTTTGATGCAATCGACGCCAACTTGATTTGCTCAACTGCATTGGAAGTTCAACGTCTTTGCTACTGCACAGAAAATATTGATGCAATCTCGAGGAAAATAGCTCTGAACAAGCAGCTGCTTTAATTTTGGCATGAACCTACCCGCTATGTTCGAAGGTAAACAAGAAATTGAATGCTTTGAAAGACCGTTTAGGTATTTGCATATTGAGAGGCGATTTTTTTCACCTTCTGCGGACTACACATTACAATCAATAAACATGGTATTCTAAATAGCTTTTAATCTGAGGCACATTGAGGAAAGTTCAAATAATTCCTTATAGGAGGCCTAGGGTCTCAATAGGGCTAATTGTAAGACGAAAAACGAAAATACTGACATATTTTAACCATAAGTGTTAAAAAAAACAAAAAACAAAGTAATTAACTGTTAACATCTTTTAATCGCAATGGAACTGATAGCTGTAAAATAATATAAATGAGAAAGACAGAGTGAGTTGGTGAAAAACGACATTCAGCAGACAGTGCAAACAAAGTTTTGTTCAAAACAGGGACCCAAGAAAGTGCGTGGAAATGCGACTTATAAATACTTTTTCTCGACGCATACTGTTAGGAAGATTTTCCGGTGAAATTTTTGTACAATGTGACTGATGTAAGATTGCAGAAACTGACTGAAATTTTCTTTACATTCAAACGGTGTAAGTGATTGTATCAAGATAAAAAGTGGTTTTATGTATAAAATATCTAATCGCTTGGAGATATAATCGTTTTGGAATAAATTGAGACATAGCTTGAATAATCTTCATCGTCATGACGTTTTGGGAAGAACAGCCTGTGGTAAACTTTGGGCGTGCTTTTGGTTTTCATTTCTACTCGTAGAAAGGCCCGCCTCATGTAGGGCGGAAGGGATCTAGAAGTATTAAGGGAACATGGAAAAAATCTAAGAAAAACTTGAATAAAACAAAGGATGTGATAAAACATTTACCTGGAGAACAGTTAGCTGCAGTGAAAATAGAAGGCAAGAGGACGGAAATGAGATAGCGCTTGAAATCAGCAGACATGACGGATAGGTAAGGCACTTGGTGAAGTTTAGCTTTGATTGCGCTTTAAGTTTCCCATTTAAGTCGCACTCAAGTTGTATGTGCTGCAGCAACTCGAATCTGTTTTCACTTAACAACGAAACGCTGCGCAATTTGCTGGTACAATAGACTAACAGCTTCCAACTGTCTGAGAGAACTCGGGGTTCATTGGCTCTAAATTAGATTCTGGCCAATTGTAGCGGCGTGTTAAAGACATGGTTTCTTCGCTTTCGTTTACTAAATGAGGAAGGGACTGAAAACGAAAACAGAACAGAACCTTGGCGATATGGGTTTCTAATTAAATTACAGAGGCTCTCTCCCTAGAAAATTTGAAAATTCAAATGCATTCTAATGACTTTCATCTGATATTCCTTATGGTGGGTAGATGAAATAGTTGCATGGTGCAGCAACGTCCTAATTTGATGATGGTACAAATCCGCGTTTTAGTCCACAAAAGTACTCTCAAACGCTTTTAACGCTTTGCTGTTCAGATATTTGAAAAGAATGTTTAATTATAGGAAAATCCCTAAACTCACTATCTTCATCTCTTCATGAATTCAGTTTTCAATTCGCTTTCTGATTCATCAACCTGTATTGGTTCAAGTCCAACGTTCGTATGTAATTGCGGTATACACTCTTTCCCCGAATAAGCCCCTGTGCTTATTTTAAGTTCATATATATATTGGCAATATGAGCAGGTGTTTTTTTTGCATCTCCGCTAGTTTGTTTGAGAAATTGTAGCGGCCTGTCAAAGGGATGGTATCTTCTTCTTCGTTCACTTAATCATAAAGGGACTGAAAAGGAAATAGAACAAAACCTTGGCGATACGGATTTCTAATTAAATTGCAGAGGCTTCCTCCCAATAGTTTGAGTCAAATATTTTCATATATATTTACATGCTTGTATTTCTTGTAACTCAACAACTCAAAATCTGTTTTCACTCAACAACAAAACGTCGCGCAAGTTGGTGGTACAGTAGACTTTCAGCTTCCAACTGTCTGAGAGAACCCGATGTTCATTGACTCTAAATTAGGTTATAGCCAATTGCAGTGGCCTGCTAAAGAGATGGTTTCTTCTATTTCGTTAACTTAATCATAAAGGGACCGAGAATGAAAACAGAATAAAACCTTGGCGATATGGGTTTCGAATTAAATTGCAGAGGCTTTCTCTCTCATAAAAATGTGAAAATTCAAATGCGTTCTAATGACTTCCTTCTGATGTTCATTATGGTGGATAGATGAAACTGTTGCATGGTGTGTGATGTCCTAACTTGATGATGGTGCAAATCCGCGTTTTAGTCGACAAAAGTACTTTCAAAGACTTTTTAATTTTCTTAAGGCTTAAATCTGCCGTTCAAATATTTGAAAAGAATGTTTAACCATGGGAAAATCCCTTAACTCATCATCTTCATCTTTTCATGAATTCAGTTTTCAATGCACTTTCTTACTCATCAACCAGTATTGGTGCAAGTCCAACGTTGGAATGTAATTGTAGTATACATTATTTCCTGGAATAAGTGCCCGGACGTTTAAAATGTATTAATATACTGGCAATGCAAGCAGGTTTCTTTTTGCATCCCCACCAATTTGTTTGAGAAAGTGAGGTGGGAGGGGGGAAGGGTTAGGGCACTTATTGGAGGGTGCGGGTATTTATCCTTTTGGCCTTGGTGGTGGGCCACTATTCGGGGGAGGGCGCTTATTCAAGCGTGGGTGGTTATTAAAGGAAATACAGTATTTGTTTCGTTAACAACCATGTTTGTCTCCAAAGATTAGGAAAAAAAAAATAGTTGTAGGGTAGGCAGCCATCAAGAACACACAACATTTCTGATATTATTCTAGCCTTTACCCTAAGTCTTTGATGTCTTGACAGTGTGAAGAGCACCCTGTTTCTTATTGAAAGTCTCTCGTCACAAAAACAAAACAAACAAATAAAACAAAACAAAGAGGAAGACGTAGATATGCCTTAAATAACAATATCTAGTCACCGCATTTTAACAGTGTTATTGTTCGAACGAGTGTCTTCTCTGTCAGCTGTATATATGAACATATTAAATTTACAACTTTTGCCAATTTCGACACCCTATCTTTATCAGAAATAAGCTAGGTAATTAAAGTTTCTTGAGAGGAAAGTCGTCTGTATTTTTTTTGAGAGCAGGACGTTAGTACCAGCTAAAGGAAAAAGCCAACGATGAAACAAAAATGAAATGATCAAAAAGAAGAGGAAAAACTTCGTCCACAGTGGTCGTGATCTAAGAATTCGAAAGATCTCTA